AGAGCAGAGCAGAGCAGAGCAGAGCAGAGCAGAGAATTGCAGGGCAGAGCAGAAAGCTAGATAATAATATAGAAGAGCAGGAGAGTAGAAAGGGGCAGAGCATTATAACCACATGAGAAAATAAATGCATGCTACAAGCTTGTCATGAACCTCTAGGTTATTTCTTATAAGCATGAATAAATGCCTTAAGGTAAAAATCATACTTGATTGTTCTACTCAGGACAATGTTTAGCCTGTCAGGAAGAGGTCTGTACTTTTCAGGTATAGACTCCCATGTCTTGCGTCCCATTATTACTGCATTCTCTTTATCTAAAATATAACATGTTAAAAAATATATTCAATTATTAGATACTCAATCTTTTTTGAAAACCTATAAATAAATATTTAATGATTTTATCACATGACACTGGGAGTCATTGCTGAGTCTCTTCTAGCTAGAGGCAAATGTTGAAAGAGCACACTTTCTATATAATGGCACAACTTCCAACTTGTTTTTTTTTAAAGGAAAACTAGAGAGAAAAAAACCCATGGTAAGGGTTCGTTTTCTGGCTGATTTCTTTCTCCCTGTAAAAATTAATTAACCTGAGAGTTGTGTGTTCCAGATAATGAATGTAGAGCTAATGTGTGTGAAGCAAATCTCACGAAAAAGCCTCTTGAAGTACAAGGAGTGGTTTAAAGTTTTTTCTTTAAGCAAACAACAACAACTTTGGGATATATAGGTATATTTACTTTTATCTTCCACATCTGAAGTTATTCTTGAAAAGTATTTCATCTCATTTCTGAAAATAAGACAAAATTATCACTGTTCATTTGCTACACAAACACTGATCGAGACAACAGTCGCAACACGGAAATTGAACAATATTCACCCATGTGAGAAGGTAGTCATAATGTATTTTGTGTACCAAACGATAGAAACTATCTGTGCACCTTTTGCATTCAAACAGATTAAGTTCAATTCCGGGAGGATAGAAAATGTATTGTTTTGTTACACTAACATGGCCGCGCTGTGACGTCACATGAAAAACACTCTATGCACTACTGTCAATCAAACCAATACATAGGGACCATGAGAAGGTAACTATGGAAACTATTCCAATGATTTATTCGATTGACATGTAGTCTACTGCATGCTTGCATGACTTCCATATTACATAGCAACAGAAACAGTTGTAAGATATAATGATCAAAAAATATTTTAAAATAAGATAAAAAGTTAAATATCAATCAGCTCCAAATATGTCATTATAAAAATACTTAAAGAATGTCAATTAGAAATAAGATACTATGCTTTAAATAGTTGAGGGACTGTTCATTTCACAGGCATTTGGCATGGGGGCAGCTCAGGCGGTATTTTTTGAATTGTAAGTAAAAACAATTTATGGCCCCTTTCCAAGCTGAATTTTTTCATGTGGCTCCCCTATTAAAACAGGATAGTATTTTACTAAATTTCCTATTTGGCTATTTTTTACAGGCCCCCTTAAATCTCCCCTCAAAAAATGAACGGTCGGGCCACGTCTGCAAGTTAAGCCTGCTTAATGAGCCCCACTCTTGTAAAAAATGTAGTCTCTGTCACGAAAAGTTAAACAAGTTAAAAACAAGCTAAAATTCCAATATTACAAGCTAGCGAGTTTTATGATGACAAGAAAATGCTATGCAAAGCGTTAGACCTCTAAAGAGTTAAGATAACCTTATTATAAAACATAGAAAAGTGCCTCACACGTGCTTATGTAAATATGTAAGCTTTACGTATACATATTCAAACTCACTTTCAAATTCCGTGCTTGAGGTCTAAAGATTGTACAATTTTTTGTATCATTTATAAGCATGTTTAGTGCAAAAGAGTCCTAAGATATTGGCTTTCAATATTTTAAATATCTATAGCCTGTAGTAACTTCACAACCTAAAAACTTCTTTGCAATTCTGCTTGATCTTGCATTCAAGCTGGTGATTCGTTCCTGAATCCGCTTGAAAAGTTTGACATTAAAAAGCTTACTTTAGGTGCCATGCTAGGTCGCCATCTTTGCCAACGCCTCTTTTGGAATCCATTGCTGCAATGCAAGAGATCGGACGAAGTTTTCCAGCCATTTTCTTCGATATATAGAAAGAGATACCTTCTTAATGATGACCTCCTTATTTATGCACTATTCTGATTAATTTCTAGCCAGAGTGGAGCCTGAAACTTCGTATTTACTTCCGATTTCTTTACTTCCGGTCCAATTTCATCTGGACCCGCGTGACCCGCGCGCGACCCGCACAAACTTAGACTTTCGTCAACGGATGCACCACCCACTCCTCCCTCGGGGTCCTTTTTCGAACTTACGCATAAAACGCAAGATGAAGAGCGGAGACAATGATAAAAGGACGAAAAAAGAATTAAGAAAAGTAGATTTTTTACATTTCCATAGATAAAAGTGATTATTTATGGCTTTTCCAAAGTCCAATTTTTCATTTCTTTAGTAAGGTAACTCAAGGTCAGGCTTTGAAGGTCTTTTAATACTACAGTGATCATGATTGGCCAGTTTTCATTGTGACGCCTTTTATGATTGGTTTAGTCTGAGGCGGCAAATCAAGGTCGTTCAAGGTCGTTCAAGGTCAATAATCTTGATAGTACAAAGTCAATAATTGGTCCATTTATAAATAAGTACTAACAAGTTGTCTGATTGGTCAGATGATTGTTTTACCAAAACATTACACACGAGCGACTTTGAACCAGAAACCGGTGAAAATATTACCGGAATTTTCTTCTAAAAAACTGCTTTTTCCTTCTCTTAAACATGGCAGAAGCCAGAGCTGCCGTTACTAGGCCCGACGTAAAGCTTCACCCCGAAGGAACAAGCGCAAAAGAGGCAGAATTTGAGCTCCTAAAGAGCACTTTTACGTCGTTGAAGAAATGCGCTTTCAGGACTCGGTGAGTTTTGAGGATATGATTTCCACGTGTTGTTCTTTGTAAACAAGAAGAATATTTCTTTTTTATCTCAAAACCCTCAATCAAAATTACTTCATTTTAATCTAAAAAAATTAGGAAATCCTAATTATTGAATCAAAATCGTTGTTTTTACTCTTAAAATCCAAAATTTTGACACAAACGCGCAGTAACTTCAAAATTCAAAATGCGTGTTACGTTTGAGCGAATTAATTTTGTTTTCTGCCAGTCAAACGGAAATATTTTTATTTAGATATTAGACAAAAAGTTAAGTTACATATATCCTAGGTAGTCTACATATATATTTTCGGTAGTCTACCTCTACCTTTATCATAATGTTTTCATATTCTTTTCGTCAATCAAATTCAAACTCCAGAACAAGGACAGAAATATTTCCTGTTTAAAAATAAGAAATTTTTGCCAAATGAAATAATTTTTGAACAGAATAAAGCTATTAAAAGAAAGAAATCTTAATTCAGAGGTGTATTTGGTTATTTCCCGTGACTGCATTCTTGAAAATTTCAAAATACTATACGATGACATAAAAGCACGCTATCCAACGTTTGATTTTTCCTTGAATTTTACCAGAAAAAAAAAAACAACCAAAAAACGACTAATCAATTGTTTTGTATTTATGTATTTAATATAAAAAAGGCATAGAAAAATTACTTTAAATTTAAGGTTTCAATCTATTTTTGATGGGATCCTATCTTGTACTGTAGTTGAACTTTGAACTCTACAAAAACGTAAACATTAGACTCTGTGTACGTAGCAAAAACTTATTTAAAATTAATGAATATAGTTTTCAATAATTCAGCCAAATGTATATGTATTGTATTTATTGATGTATTTGGTTTAACCAATTTTGCTGTCTTTGAGTAGATGTCGGTGTCTTTTGTGTGTGTCTGTCTGTTTTGTGTGTGTGTGTCTGTCTTGTGTTTCTGTCTGTCCATATATATACATGCTGCAAGGGGTCTATTAAGCTCAATCTTACTATCTTAATAAAACCAGATTCTAATGATTTTGTATTTAGTTTTATTCATTGCTGCATGCTGTTGTTTCTGTCTGTTTCAACATGTTTTTCTGTCTGTCTGTCTTTCATGTGTGTGTGATGCCCATGTAATGTACATCAAGCAGTACTATATCTACAGTATTGATGTCTTTGATGGAACCATCCTTCCCTCCCCTCCCTCCCTCCCTCCCTCCCTCNCTTATAATTAAGTTATTTCCCACCTATTGTTGTTTTCGATCCTTTTGTTTTCCTTTGTTAAATGGCTTGCTTTTTTCTTATTGGTTTGTTTTCTCTCTCCTCTACTATATAAACATCTCTCTTACTCTTACTTTCTATTGACTCCGACGAAGGACTAACGTCCGAAACGTCAGTTACTATTTTCACTACGGTGTATAACTTATCATTCTACGATAACTGTTTTATTAGAAACACCGACGCAGTCCACGCTAGTGTTTACTAGCCATCATCTTATATTGCAAAGAGAGATCAAGCTTGGTTTTTATTTTTACTATTATTTTCATTAATTCTTTTTTCCCCTTATTATTGTTTTTGTTGTTGTTATTTGTGTGCGGTTTTATTTTTCGTTTTTCGGCTTATTTTGGGGGTTGTTGTTGTTATTTATTATTTGGTCATCCATTCCGTCAGTCGTTGAAAATAATCGTTTGATTGGTTCTTTCGGCGGCAATCATGTAACCTACCATGTAAGCCTTTTTTTCTTTGATCCATGCTCGTGTTCCAGGCTGAAGGGGAAGCAAGTCGAGAAGCATTCCCAAACAGTAGTACTCCATTTCAAAAGCGCCAGCAAAGATCCCGCTCGAGACAACTCAGCGATCCTGGCTTTCACGTAAGTACGATATGTAACACATCTGATTTCAGAAAGGCTATGTAGTAAACTTAACCACWTATTATCGGCCTGCAGAAAAAGGATCCAAAATAAAATTTAAGCTTTTTACTCAGGCAATATTCCATTACATACTCATTGTCAGTTCTTATCTACAGTTTGGAAACGTTCATGTATCAGATAAAGACCACCCAACCGAGACCAGTGGATCTGAAAAGGCACACCCACAAGTACGTTTACGCCAACATGTGTCTCACTGACTGGGCGTGTATATCTAGATGGTATAATTATACATTTTTTTTTTGATTTTTGATTGATCGATTGATTGATTTTTATTTTATTTTTGTTGCGCTCCATACAGCTTTTCTGCGGTTACCCACAAAGTTGCAAGTTATCACATTCTCCGCATTCAAATACAGGTAAATTTGAGATTGCTGTGCATTCTGAGCTATATCAAAATTATAATGGAAAATACTTTCACGACTTGCTTCCAACGCAGGATTTGTAAACCCAAACGGGAAAAAATGTAGTTTGTCCTCTGTCCTCGCCATGCTCCAATGGTTACGTCCATTCATGACAGTTGTTAACAATGAAAGTACCAGCACCACCAGTGAAATAAACAAGGTAAATTAAGCTAAAGATAAATAGTTGAATCAACATTCTTTTTATTTTTTTAATTCATCCATCCATCGATCCATCCATCCACCCACCCACCCATCCATCCATCCATCCATCCATCCATCCATCCATCTATCAACCAATACTTTATTTATTAATTAAAGCAGGTTGATCTCACATATAGTTACTTACATATAGTCATACTTAAATATAAATAAACTATAACTAGAAAAACATATATTGGCAGCATTAATACGAAGAATATAAATACTATCTACCCAGGCAGCAAATTCGAAATGGTCTGTGGCCAACGACATGGAGTAATCTACTTGGTGCAGTCATCATCCTCATTGGAATCATCCATTATGATCATCAACATCCTTCAGACTTATTGCAGCCTTTTACAAAAGTGGTATGGTGGCTGGGCGAACTAATCTACCTGGACGAGTCATATCCCTATAACTTCAGGGTGGTTATATTGTCTATTATCATTGGTGTCATCTTCTTTATTGTGTTACTGTATCTGCGACAGTATGTTCTACGAATGCTACTAGCCTATAGAGGCTGGATGTGTGAGTATTTAAAAATCACTTCTATTTTCATTTAGTCAATATAAGAACTGTTAATCATCTGAGTGGGAAACTATACCGCAAATTTGTAGCTGTATTGTAGCTTTACCATATATTACCGTGACCTTGATTATCTGTTGTGATTGGATAAATTATTCAAAGACAATGACAAGCCATTTCCATGTTATGGCATGTAATACTGTGTACTACTGTATGTGCTTTAAGTCAGTACCACATATTTCCCACTGATACAATGACCATTCTTATTTGAAGCCATTTCCATGTTACGGCAATGTCGTACTGTGTATATGCTTAAGTCAGTACCATATATTTCCCACTGATACAATAACCATTCTTATTTGAAGCCATTTCCATGTTACGGCAATGTCGTACTGTGTATATGCTTAAGTCAGTACCATATGTTTCCCACTCATACAAGAACCATTTTTATCAGAAACCATTTCAATGTTATGGCGTGCTGGAAGTCAGTACTATATGTTTCCCACTCATACGATAACCATTCTTATTTGAAGCCATTTCCATGTTACGGCATGATGTACCATGTACGTGCTGCAATTCAGTACCATACTGTATGTTTCCCACTCGTAAGAACAGCTCCATATATCGTCCTCACTATTAACAATGACATACATGATTATGTAATTATTCCATAACACCATTGCATTCTAAGTCCCATTTACAACAATTTTTTTTTTTAGATGAGAATCCACGTTCACAAAGTAAACTTACTCTTTTGTGGGGTGCCATGGTTCACATATGTACTGGTCACCATCCAACGCTGTACAGCTTCCAGAACAGTCTGCCTCGTATGCCAGTACCATCGTTGAAGGACACATGTAGCAAGTTCCTTGAGTCTGTTCACCCCTTGATGGAGGATGAAGAATTTGAAGAAATGAAAGCATTGGCTAAGGTAAGATTGACTGATCATATTGACTGATCAACATGTTGATCATCCTGATATGACTGTAGTTCAGGGTTCGAAATTCACGCAAGCAACACTCAGCTATGACAATAATAATAATAACTTTATTTAACAAGGTTAAACGCATTACAGTCACAGACTGATCAACTGGTTGACCTCCAAATTAAATAAATAAATAAATACTCTCCGTGACTTTTCACTACTTTTTAATTAAATAATAGAAAATACATACATTTTTACTCGTCACTTGTATTTTGGTGGTGTACTCTGTGACTCGTAAAAATACACAGCTGTATCAGATGCTTAGCCTGCTGATAACCTCTATTTACGCCATAGGATTTTGAAAAAAATCTTGGTCCAAAGCTGCAGTTCATCCTGCAGTTGAAGTCCTGGTGGGCACCAAACTACCATACCGACTGGTGGGAGAAGTACGTATATCACATGGGACGCTCCCCTCTACCTATTAATAGTAACTACTACGGCATGGATCAAGGGTGGTACCCCACAAGGGTGCAGTCATCCAGGTGAAGCCTATTTCATATTCTGTTGTTTGAAATTATTGACACAGTTGTAATTTTCTGCTGGGCGACAATTGTTACAGTGAAACTAAGAAAACTGTGAGCACTTAAATATGTCTGGAATGTTAAACATTGTGCTTTGAATATTTACATACAACAGTTAATTAGAATCGAATTCATTCTTGAATGTGATTACCCATCTACCCACCCTTCCATCACCTTTTTCTCTCAAATGGGATTTAGTAGCAGCATTTCTGCTTTTCGTTCACAAATCCAATTGGAATTTAGAAGTTGTTTTTTGAGGGAATGACACATGGTCTGAAATGG